GGCTATTCCCAGTACAGATGGTCTAGTGAGAAAAGTAGAGGTGAAAACTGTTCAGCATGGAACAACAAAAGTTTATCACAGACCCATATCCGAATTAGTATACCTCCTTTCTTCAGATCAGACTATGTACTCTAGTAACTGTTAGTGTTAAAGGCAGGGTATGTGATTTTTCAAAAACACTTTAGAAAACTGATTCGGGTCGAATCGCAAAACAAACTTGTAGCCAATCAGCAATAAGGGGCGTGTCTACTCGTGATGTGGAGGAGAGCGCATTCAGTGCATGGGACGGACATTAGCCGAGCCGAGCGACAGAAAGATAGAGATGGTGGATACAAAACAAAAGAGGAAAACGTCTGCGGAACGATAAGGCTGATTTTTCAAAAACACTTTAGAAAACTGATTCGGGCCGAATCGCAAAACAAACTTGTAGCCAATCAGCAATAAGGGGCGTGTCTACTCGTCTCGTGATGTGGAGGAGAGAGCTTTCAGTGCATGGGACGGACATTAGCCGAGCCGAGCGACAGAGAGATAGAGATGGCGGATAAAAAACAAAAGAGGAAAATGTCTGCGGAACGATAAGGCAAGAAGTAGGATCCGTGTAAATATCGGATCAGCTTTCCAGCGCTGGAGAGAACTCAAGGAGCGGAGGCCTGCGATCGGACGCCGAGGTTGCTATGTTTCTTCTCAGTAGGTGAGTAACACCGTGTCTACAACAGCTAAAGTCTGCCTACACTGGACGCGATCAAACGACCGTTGAAAACCATTTGAAATTTGTGTCAGCACGTCATAAATAGAACCTGGCAGCAGTTTTCTGTCGGGGATTTGTTGCGCCGCGCCACTCACGTCCGTAGACATGGTGTAACATTGGTTTTGCTTTGTTTCACAGAACTAATCGTTGCCTGGGTTGCGTACGTATATGTGGGGCGGAGCTATCAAAATAGGGGCAAGACCCTTTTGGGGTAGGGGCGTGTTTGTTTTGGTGATTTCAAATATCAACACTGGCTACCAGAAATCACTTACTCTGCCTTTAATGGTATCTTTAAGATACCAGACGGGGAGTGTTCTGGCTCTGCCTGTTTTAGCTTGTTTTTGGCTCTCCCTACTGGTCATTTTGTATTCTACCGCTTGAATTTATGTTATTCAGTTTCTGGGTTCAGAAGAATAGCGTGCACAGCACATGATAGCTCAGTTTTGTTGTTGCATCATTCCATCATATTAACAACACTTAACGAGGCACTGCCTGTAAGTAAAGTTTGATTATCGTTGATTTATGTTATTCTGTATGTTTATCAAGGACTACATATGGAAATAGTCGTTTTCATAATACGTGATTGTGAAATACGTAGTTCTGTTTATATTATAAGATCTTTGAACTGCTTAAGCTCACATTAAGCATTTATCTCTCAGTTTATTTATGCTGTGTAAACATTTTGCATAATTATCTCATGTTAGATAAAATTGGACAACATTTTTCATGTAACAGTTTATTTATACAATCTTTGTTTTATTTTACAGTTCTACACATTTTACTCAGTAAATCATCCGAACTACGACTTCCTGGTGTCAAGTCCGTTTATTGAGTAGAAGTGTTTAGCTTGCTGGATATGAAGCCTGTATAACGTCTTCAATATTGCTTATAAATTTGAGCCCGATTTAGACCCAGAGAATATTAGTGAAGAGGATCCGTGCAAGCACAGCTCTTACAGGATGTTTCAGAATGGTATGTTTTTTTGTTTGTTGTTGTCTCATACTTTTAGGTACGCTGTTGCGAATGCTACTGCTTATATGTTAGCTTCTAATATACTGTTTCATCCTGATTAAAGCTTTAATACAGCAGAATACATGATTGCGTTGTAGCATTTTTGTAACAGTAAGAAGTGTTTGCCAGCAAGTATTGCTCGCAACCACGGCAACCACGTGCGCATCCATGTTTAATGCTTCTCGTAGCTATGTTAAAAATATCTGCCTGTCTATACACATAAAAGTGTATAATTGGAACACAGTTCACTGATGGAGCTGACGAGCTAGTGATCTGAATAAGAGAGAGAGAGAGAGATGCCGAGCAGAGTGTGTGCAGAGCAGGGGGACGCAAGGAACAGGATTAAGAACCGCTGCTTTAGAACATTGATTTTGAAATTTGTAAATCCATTAGAATCGTTAGAAGACAGAATCGCGATACATATATAGATTTTTTCGTGCACCCCTAGTTTTGACGACATGGCAACAACTCTTCCTCTTCTCTAAAGC